ACTTGCCGCTTCAGATTAAAAGGTCCCACGTCACAGATAACAAATGTACTGCATGTGAGTTGAAATAAATAGAAAAAAGAAATGAGACTCCTGGACCTTCTCTCTTCTCTCTAAAGGATGAGCAGTTAACTCTTTGCAGCACGGGCCCAAATTGTTCTTTCAATCTGCTCTGTGCATGAAGAATACTTAAACTATGATCCTCTACTCTGGGTCTCTGTCCTGGAAACAAAAGTGTAATTGCCCAAAGGTCTGGGGCAGTGTGTGATAGGAGAGGCTGTAACCTAGGGACACCTAAGAACTTCCAGAACTAAACTGCCTAAATGGTATGAAGCTCAAGGACATTGTGACTGGCAGCAGGAGAGGAACAGGAAGCTCCCTTTTTCTGTTCACTGCTAAGGAGAAGACACGAGATCACCGGTGCATGTGGGCAAAGCCACCGGAACACGGAGCGGCAGGAACTTGGAGCTGTTGGGAGACTCCAAATTTAGCTTCTGTTCCAAGGCTTTCAATTCTGTATGGAAGGACTGAATGCTAGGTGACTTGGCTATTACACAGAGAAACAGGGACTTTATCAGCAGAAACATCAAGGGAAAGGACTTCCCTTTTCTTATTCACAATATCTGGAAGACAGGAGGTACACAATGGAATGCTGTCTGCATGAGAGAATGAGGTCTAAGGACCGTCTCTTTCACAATTCTCACTTTCTCCAGACCCAGGGCTGAACTGGCTGAAAAGCCATCACAGAACAGTCATGTCTGAGTGGCAGCAAGGCCCAGGGATGCAATAGGAAACACCAGAGAAAACCTGGGCAGATGTTAACTGCCTCCTCCTTCCAACACAGAGGTCCTAGGACGGGAAAAAAATGTCAAGAAAGGTAATTTCTTCCCTTGAAAGATGAGTTTAAATGGTAAAATCAGGAAGACTTTATTGGTCAGCTTCTTAACAAAACGTGCCCAGTGGCACAGCCTGAGGCCCAGTGCAGTTCTCATCATATGAATGGTGTGTGTTTGAGGACTTGTTCTAAGGTTGATGGGACAGCATCTGTTTAGTGCCAACTGTAGACATTAGTATCATCAAAATGAATTAATTCCCAGGGTCTTAAAATCTCAAGAAAAAGATACTATGGCATATTTTACAACCAGAAAAGTATTTGTGGATCCCATCTCCTATAACCATTAATTTTGTTTTTTTTATTTGATGCTTTTTCATAAAGATGATTCAAGTTTTCCTGCTCTGTTGAATGACACAAGTCTCATTTGCAGCATCTATATTCTAAAAATGGTAAATTAAGATTAATCACACAGTAGAAAGCCTCTTGCAGGACAGGCTTATTGCCCCACCGTCACCGCATGGCTTTACTCTTTTCTCCGTGGCAGACACTCTGTTACATTATGGCCTGATTTTAGGACTCTAGATGGTTCTTACTCAGAGTTTTCAGTGAAAGCACAGACACTATGATTACTCCTAATGACTGGCATTTGAAACAAATATTTTCCTGAGTTCTTAGCATCCTAAACTTCATTATCTTCAGTGGTTCAAAAGGAAATCATGCAACACAGAGTTGCCAAAGGCAAACAAGAGTATTTTAGGATGAACAGACTCCATCTGAGTTAGAGAGGCGGCAGCCAAGTGCTCCTCAAGCTGCAAATGAAGCCGGCTGGTCCTGGTCTCAGACACGCTGCAGCATGGAAGAAGGTGAGCCCTCAAACTGAGGCCATGCCGCTTTTGGAAAAGAGTCAAATGCCAAACAGAAAGAGTTACAGGATCTCAACAACAGAACGATCTATTTAAAAACCCTACGGGGACTGGAAAAGGAAGCCACACACTGCTCTAAACATAACAAAACGAGCCACATATGATTCTAGACTTACGAGGCTCGAGAACTTCACAATCACTGGGATAGAATTTTAACTGAAACAAAATCCTAGACGTGTCACTTAGGAGAAAGCAGGACCTTGCTCTTCAGCCGGCTGAACCCTGAGCTTGACAATGGAATATTTCAGCCCTTTCAAATCCGTACTGTGAGTCAATTGTACGATGAGAAAGTGGATAAGACGCCTAATAAAAGAGAAAGGAGAAAAATTACAGCCTAAGCCAGACAGTGAGAATCCCGTTAATACATTTTAGGCCTTGATGCACTAGGTTACTCTGAATTTCATGCAAAAAATAAAATAAACTATGAGGACTAGGTGATTCCTCCGGCAGTCTGAGTGGCAGGTCACTTCAGGGAAAGGCACCTCACTGCCTTTGGCTAGAGGAATGCGCCTCCTCATGCGAGTTGGCGGTCCGGTAACATCCACCCCCAGCGCCAGATGCTTGGTTCTGGACGATACATTCAGTGCGGTTCCTGTTAGAGTTTCTTTTATTGGGATCACAGGACATGTTCTGACTTTTCAGTAGACTGATGATTCTGTTTGATGAGTAAGGTTGAATCCCTCATGTGTGAAACAACTAAACACAAGTGTAATTTCTTGATAAACTGAGTTTCCAAAAGTAGTAGGACCTTTTGAAATCACTATGCAAACATGTACATATTTAGAATGTGTACAGTACTTAATCTGAATATGTATCATATAATACTTAATCTTGGCAATTATAAACTGATTTACCTAATTATAAAGGTTGGTAAGTGTTGAAGATTATATTTCTTAGGATCATAAATTTGTCTTTTTATTATACTCTGGTTTCTCTTCAGATTATATAAGTCTTTTGCCTTTTACAAACTTTTCTTATTAGACCTTAAGAGAATGGAATTTATTAGTTTTGTCATTGTAAGTTGGTATTTCTAAAGAAACTTGATTGACTAAATGTATAATGGAAGAATTCTGTCAAATTTATGAAAATAAAGAATTAAAAATGACTTTTAAAAAATCAGTATATTTATAAATAAATGAGATCTGTATAGTGATTAAAAACAGCCTTAAAGTTAAAATTTGGCTTAATATTAAAATAAAAGAAATAGTAAATATAGAACTAAAACTCAAAATTTATAACTTTGAGCACTGAATAATAAAGCAAACATAACTGCACTGTTTTTTTCTGTGAGCAAAAACCTCCCCAGGAGTAATAAAGCCCAGGGGTGAGAATGAGAGCTAATGTGGGTGGAGCTTCATCTCAGGGAAGGCGGAACAGAGCACCACGCAGGAAAGATGGGTCCTGCCCCGAAGCTCGGATGGACACACCATGCCACGAAAACGTGAGAAGTGATACAGACACGGGCACGGAGACAGTTATTCCTCTGAAATACGAATCATCCTACAATTGCAACTGGTGGCAGAGGGAGCTTCCAGGTGGCTAATAACTCAGTATGCCTGATTTCCAGAAGAGCAATTCTACTCTTCCTAGAGAAGCAAATCCATCATCCCATATGCATATTAATTAATTCTGGGGCACATTAATTAAGCATCAATCTATTCTGACAGACTTGACCACGCTGTCATTCGGTCTTACTCAGTATAGTATGCAAGTACAGTTGTCTTCTAAGAAGGATTTGTCCTCAGGTACTAATGTGAATTTGAAAGGACTATCTTTTTACTGGATATGAACAAGGAACCCAATGTTGGAAAACACATTTCAAACAACTCCACTCAAATGCAAATTATATAACAGATTACTTTTTTGGTAATTGTTTATAATAAACATTTAGTACTCACAAAATTTTTACCAGTTGGTTAATGTTTCTCTGATTAAATAAAAGTGGGTAATACATGATTTTATACTACTCACTTTCCTTGATTCTAATAAAGAAATTTGAGAGTAAAAACTGGAATATTTTAAAATTACCTTATTATTTTTAAAATGTAACTGAAGCATTTAAAGTTATTTTAATTATTATTGAAAGATACTTTAAGCCATGCACTCTTTTGATAATTTCTGAAATTAATCACTAGGAAACGTTTAATTAGTTAAAACGGTAGGCTTTTCATACACTCAATATTTTTTGATTGTCAGATGAGTGCTTTCCTGGTTTTTAATTTTACTCCTTTCTAACTTGTACTTTAATAGCAAGGTTTTAAGTGCCAAGGTTACTAAGTCGGTTTTAAAAATGTGAACAAGGAACCTAATGTCGGAAAACGCATTTCAAACAATTCCACTCAAATGCAAATTATATAACATTTTTTTTGTTAATTGTTTATAATAAGCATTCAGTAATTACAAAATTTTTACCAGTTGGCTAATGTTTCTCTGATTAAATAAAAGTGGGTAATACATGGTTTTATACTACTCACTTTCCTTGATTCCTTAATACAGAGAGAGCATGAGACAAAATAAATTGGGTTAAATAGAACTTGAAATTGTTCCCAAAGTTATACACTAAACCTAGAAAAACATACAAACTAATTTTAAATGTCAAATAAAATGATGATGCAAAGCTCTTAGGGAAATGCACTCAGTAGTGAGAGCCGGCGTGAAGGAGGATGGTGAGTAAGAGGACGCAGAACAGGACAGAAACATGGAAAATGCCTACAAAGAATAGTTTGATACCAATAATTTAGTATAGTGCAGTAAAAACATGTTCTCCTACATCCACCGTGTGTAATGCAAGGCCTTTCTACTTCACACTCTTGGTCACTATCTCCTGACACCAGTGAACAATGTTCCCATGTTCAGTCTTGTATTCTGAGAAAATGGGAGCAGGGAAAATAATAAAGAGACGCTCTCCCCGTCCTAAGTTACTAAACTATCGACTACCTCAAATCTTGCTCTCCCCGTCATAAGTTACTGAACAATCAACCACCTCAAATCTCTCTGAGGGATAAGACAGGGCACAGAAACAAGAAAATAAACACCAAAAAGCTAAGAATAATTTTGGCAACTGTTATACCAGTAGTCTATGGTTTTAACCTGAGAAAGTTCTTTGATGACTTCAAATTTGCAGCATTCATCAGATCAATGGTGTTAGTACTATTTCCCCAGAGTTAGTCCTTAAGATCACATAAGACTTTTGTAATAAAAACAACCACAGGATAAAACTTTAAACAATTCTTAAAATGACTTACTTTCTTCTTTCTTGCTAATAATGGCAGGTAGGGTATAAATCTAAAAAAAACAAAAGATGTCAGTCAGTTACTTGAAGTTAATGACCCAGCACAGAAGATCAGTCAAGGTGATGTTTGCACACTGCCAAACAGCAAAGGGGCGTCTAGACCTGACGTCCTGTGACCGCCGTGCCCACAGCGCCCTCTGCCCGCCCTGTCAGCTGGTCCCCTTCTGTGGCACAGCCAGCCCCGCCGTCTTCAGGAGGCATCTCAGGATGGATTTCATCTGGTTACTCCTTCCTCAAATTATCTGCTAAGTGTTGTGTTCTCCACTTGCACAACCCTGACTTGTATGTTGCTAGGCAAACAAACCATCCCCTAAATTTGCTCTAGGTCAGGACTTTTCAACTTTTTCTAGTGAAAAGCCAAGCCTTTTTTTGTTGTTGTTCCAAATCTATCATTGATTAACATTTCTATAAACTATAATAAAACTGAAATAGAAAACAATAAAGAACAAATGCAAAGCCCCAATTTTTTATTGAACTTAACAGACTTAAAATGACTTCTTCAAATGGCTACACAATTTTCTAAATGTTTAATAACAATTTCTGTGCTTATGTTTTTGTAGCCTGGTAACAGAGGGTCAGGGGCCCAAGGCTCCGGAGGCCGCACACGTTTCTGTACTGCACTGTCGTTATACACATACTCTGCTCAAGACTGTTCACAGGTTCTCTTTTGCCATCTAAGGATGGCTCTTGTGTGCCTAGATGGGGCCTTAGTAACAGTGTTCATTAGGACACTCACAGTAATGAATAACCATCCTTTTTTTTTTTTTTTTTGGTTTTTCCCTCGCTGCCTAGGGTTCCTAAATATTTCTAAGTAAATTATCGTATTAATATCAAAGTAACTATTAGAAAAAAATGGGAATACATATGAAGGGGAAAATGTCAAACCACAGGCAATTTAATCAAATTATATTTTCTGAAAATGGCCTCCACTTTGGTGGGGGGTGGTGGCTCACGCCTGTAATCCCAGCACTCTGGGATGCAGAGAGATGGGTAGATTGTCTTAGCTCAGGAGTTTGAGACCGGCCTGAGCAAGAGCAAGACCCCATCTCTAAAAAATAACCAGGCATTGTGGCAGGCTCCTGTAGTCCCAGCTACTTGGGAGGCCTAGGCAAGGAGATGGCCTGAGCCCAAGAGTTTGAGGTTGCTGTGGGCTGTGATGCCACGAGACTCTACATTGGGCAACAAAGCAAGACTTGGCCACAGCTAGAGTGTCAGCTCTCTCTCATTCTAGATCCAGCTCATCACTCTGATCCAAATGCCGGACACAGGCCCTGCTCACAAAGACTGGGCAAGCAATAGTTATTAGCGCCATAAAATAACCAAAATGAATGTCGACAAATTTTTGTAACTAATTTTTTCAGAAGTAACTTTAGAGTTATATATCAGCCCTGGAAGTTTCCCTGAAAACTAAATCAGAAAGTTGGTGTTCTGTGCCATGAGTGACAGAGCACTAGGAAAGCAGTGTGAGTGCTATTCCTTTTCTTTGCTGTTTTAATGTTTTTAATTAAACAAAAAACCCAAAAATTTTATAAAAATGTGAAAGAGATTTCAGACCTACTTTCTAATTATCAGAACAATCAAAGTCAAGTTACAGAAAGTGTCATGCTCTTACCGGCTCCTTCCCATCCATGGCTTCAAGCCAAAGTTTCCTATTAGCTTCTGAGAAGGCCTGTAGTGTGATGATCCCATGTCTGTTAAAAACAAATACTTCATATAGTAAGTGCATTCCTACCATGTCTTTATACATTTACTACTTTTTAAATTCTTAAAGGTAGAATTTGAAGATTAAAGTTAAAAGAGAACAAAAAGAAATAAAAAGAGGAAAAATCTGAGAATTAAAAATGAAAAAGATCAATCTATAGTTACTTTTCAGAAAATCACTAGACAGATGCAATTTTTTCTTTTTTTCTTTTGAGACAGAGTCTTGCTCTGTCACCTCAGCCAGAGGGCAGTGGCATCATCATAGCTCACTGCAACCTCAAACTCCTGAGCTCAGAAGATCCTCCTGCCTCAGCCTCCTGAGCAGCTGGGACCACAGGGCTCCATCACCGCAGCTGGCCAAGTTTTCTATCTTTAGTAGAAACAGGGTCTTGCTCTTGCTCAGACTGGTCTTACACCCTGAGCTCAGTGATCCTCCTGCCTCTGCCTCCCAGTGTGCTAAGATTACAGGTGTGAGCCACCGTGCCCAGCCATACAAAATTGTTTTTAAACCTAATGATTGTAGTAGTAAAATGATTAAATGTTTTAGATGTAATACTGTCTAAAGAAGCTAATTTCAAGCTATTTCCCCTGAAGTGACTGAACAGATAACAAAGCTGCATTCACAAAAATTCAAAGCCATCTAAAAATTCCACAATATAAGAATGATTAAGTCTCTGACCCTGATGTACAATCTAATCACTCACTAAAAACAATTACAATGAGTATGTAGCAATGTGGAAAGTGATACCATAATTACTTAATAATTAAAAAGACACTCAAGCCAAAGTGTTTCTCTGTACCATGATCATACTATTAAAATTAATTCATTTAAAAACAATTGTCTCCCATGCAGTCATTCTGAAATAGTTACTTGAAGTTGTACTTCAAAAAAGAAAGAAGCAGTAGATGGAGGGAGAGAAAAAGGAAACCAAAATAAGAAAGAAAAAATATAAAATATTAGAAAAACAGGAATTAACTTAGTTATAGGGAACTAGAATGATCTGTGACAGACGATATTAAGAGAAATGCTCATTATAAATACTATGTGATTAAAAACCTGGGATGACGTAACCTGACAATGGCCTCTGCCTCTTCTGTAAATAAGAACACGGATCATTAGAATGATGGGGGAAAATGTACAAAAAGGTCAAGATGCTGATGTTGGGGAACTTAAGCCAGCGTAACGACACCAGCAAACAAAACTCCGTCCCGGCAGCTTACTAGGCGTCAGCCTGCCTGCCTCGTCAGTATGTTTCCTTCATTATCTTATTTAATCCCCACAACGATCCTCCGAGATGGGCACTTACTACTGATTTACACACGAGGAAACCAAAGCACAGTTTCACAACACGTGTCGACCACAAGGTTCTACAACTCGAAGGTATTGGAATAGACAGAAGAAAGGATTAACATGTCGGTGTCTGTCTACATGAAAAACTCCAGAACTCTCTACATGAGAAACAGTTAAAACTACTAAAAAGTTCACCAAGGAGGCTAGATATGAAATTGAGATAAAATAATCTACTAGCCTCCCTGTACAGCAGTCTCAAGCACTTAGGAAAACTAAGTCCTATTCATAAAAAGAATCCTATTCAAAATCTTGATTGAAGGAAGGTACCCAAAAGTAAACCTAAAAAAAAAAAAAAAAAAAGTAAAATCTTCAAAACTAGGTCAACTCTGAATCAATTAATTAATAACTTTAATGCAATGAGAGTCAAAATCCCAAAGGGTATTTTTGGGAAAGAAAAGGCAACTTAACAAGTAGATCTTAAAAACGGTAAGAACCCAGGGTAAAAATAGCTAACACAAATTAACAAATTTTAAAGGAGCAGTTAAAGACAGGGCCTTGGTCCTACTAGATGCAGGTACACCCTGGGCTGTGCCTTTTTATTTTATCGCACTTTACAGACACTATGTTTTTAAGAAATCATGGTTTCTGACAACCCTGAGTTGGGCAAGCTTGCTGGTGCCATTTTTCTAATAGCATGTACTCATTTCCTGTGTCTGTGTCACATTTTGATAATGTGTCACAGAATTTCACACTTTTCATTCCTATCTCTGTCATATGATCTGTGACCAGTGACCACTGAGGTTACTATTGTAATTGTTGGGGGTGCCAGTCACCACGTCCATGTAAGACAGCAAATCTAACTGATAAACACTGGGTGTGTTCTGACAGCTCCCCACCTCTCTCCCCCTCCTTGGGTCTCCCTATTTCCTGAGACACATAATATTAAAATTAAGCCAATTAATAACCCTACAATGACCTCTATGTGTTCAAACAAAAGGAAGAGTCACATGTTTCTCACTTTAAATAAAAAACTGGAAATGATTAAGCTTAGGAAAAAAGGCGTGTGAAAAGCCAAAACAAGGTCAAAGCCAGGCTCTGACCTCAAAGCCAAAACAAGGCCAAAGCCAGGCTCTGACATCAAACAGCCAAGTCGCGAATGTAAAGGCAAATTCATTCATTCTTACAGGAAATTAAAAAGCTACTCCAGTGAACACAAATGATAAGAAAGCAAAACAGCCTTCTTGTTGATATGGGGACAGCTCTAGTGGTCTGGATAAATGGTCAAACGAGCCACAACATTCCCTGAACCCAAAGCCTGATTCAGAGCAAGGCACTATCTCTCCATAATCCTACGAGGGTGAGAGGGGAGCAGGCTCCAGAATTCTGAACCTGGCAGAAATTGGTCCGTGAGGTTTAAAGAAGGAAGACATTCTCATAACATAAAAAGGCAAGTTGCAGCAGCAAGTTCCAATGTAGAAGCTACAGAAAGTTAATCCAGAAGTTCTAGCTAAGATTACTGATGAAGATGGCTACACTAAACCACAGATTTTCAATGTGGACAAAACAGCCTTATAGTGCGTATCATCCAGGGTGTCCACAGCTAGAAAAAGAAATCAACAGCTGGCTTCAAAGCTTCCCAGGACAGGCTGACCCTCTGAACAAGAGTTGCCTGCTGGTGGCTTTAAGTTGAACCCAATGTGTATTTATCATTCCAAAAATCGAGGGCCCTTAAGAAACCCAAACTCTATTCCACCTGAGCCCTGTAAATGGAACAGCACAGCCTGGATGACAGCACTTCTGTTTATGGTACGGTTTACTGAATATTTTGAGGCCAGTGTTGAAACCTGTTGCTCAGAAAAAAAGATTTCTTCTAAAATCTTTTTTTAAGCAATGGACCTAGTCACCCAGGAGCTGTAATGGAGAAGTACAAGGAAATTAATGTTGTTTCCACGCTGCTAACACAATGTCCATTCTGCAGCCCGCGGATCAGAGGGTAATTCTGAATTCCAAACTTTATAATTTCAGAAGTACATTTTGTAAGGCCATAGCTGCTATAGAAAGTCACTCCTCTGATGGATCTGGGCAAAGTACATTAAAATCTTAAGGAAAGGAGTCCCTGTTCTTGACGCCATCAAGAACATTCATGAGGCAAGGGAGGAGGTCAGAACACCGACTTTAACCAGAGTTTAGAGTTTATTCCTGTCCTCAGGGGCAATTGGAGGACTTCAGGGCTTTAGTGGTGGAAACTGTTACAGACGTGCTGGAAAAACAAAGAAGCTGGAACTGGAAGTGAAGATGCGACAGACGGTGTGACTGGACTGCCACAATCTTGTGGTAAAACTTAAACGAGCAGATGCTTCTTATGGATGAGCAAAGAAAGTGGCTTCTTGAGATGAAACCTGCTCCCAGTGAAGATGCTGTGAGCACTGCTAAAATGACAAAAAGCATTTAGGATATTCCACAAACTTCATTGAGAAAGCCAGGGCAGAGTTTGATAGAACTGACTCCAATTTTGAAAGACATTCTGCTCTGGGTACAGTGCTATCAAAACATCACCTCAGGACCAGAGAAATCTTCATTGAAACAAAGAGTTAATCAATGCTGTAAGCCACTGTCGTCTTACTTTGAGAAGCTGGTACAGCCACCCCGACCTTCATCAACCACTCCCCTGATCAGTGAACCACCACTGACATCAAGGCAGAACTCCTTACTGGCAAAAAGATTACTACTTGAAGACTCAGATGACCATTGGCAGTTTTAAAAGTCTTTTGTAAATTAAGGTATATGCATTGTTTTTTAGACATAATGCTCGTGTACACTCCAACATACAGTAAATATAACTTTATGTTTATACATTCAGAAATCAAAAAAATTCATGTGACTCAGTCAGGGATGGTGGCTCACACCTGTACTCCTAGCACTCTGGGAGGCTGAGAAAGGTAGACTACTTGAGCTGGGAGTTCCAGACCACCTGAGCAAGAACAAGACCCCATCTCTACTAAAAACAGAAAACCTAGCTGGGTACTGTGGTGGGTGCCTGTAGTCCCAGCTACTCAGGAGGCTGAGGCCAGAGGACTGCTTGAGCCCAAGAATTTGAGGTTGCTGTGAGCCATGACACCATGACACTACCTAGGGCGACAGAGTGAGACTCTGTTGCAAAAAAAAAAGAAAAAATTCACGTGCCTCACATTATTGCAGTGGTCTGGAACCCAACCTGCAATATCTCCCAGGGACGTCTTTACTCTAAGCTACAGTGGCTGAATATACACAGTACAGACGTGTAAACACATACATAATAAGCTCGAGTATTTAGAACAGGGTGGTAGCAATGTGGAGAAGAAAAATAGATCGTAGACCCCAGGGCAGAGATCAAGAAGCACAGTCTCCCATATTTTCTTTCTGTTCTACTTATACAGATGCAACAAAAAAGTACAGCTAAGTAACTCACTGGATTATAAACGTAGATGCACGGCCCTTTTCTCTCTCCCAATAGCCTGAGTAGTGCTCTGCACACAGCAGGCCTCCTCGAGGCATTTAATTTAGGTGGCTAAAAGTTTACAATATTCCCACCTGTGTCTACGTATTTCTTGGACACAAGGCCACCAGGTTTCAGAGGCCATGAAAATGCTGTGGGATCACTCCCATGTGCAGAGGACCTCGAGGCCACTATCCGCGCTTTCCCCTAACACCGTCCTGTATAGTGATTTTCCAGATTCCTTTTGAGTGATGTTCCTTCTGCTAGCATTTTCTGTCTGATTTGCTTTTTTAGAAAGTATTACTGAATACGTATGTGAGAAAAAGACTGGAAAATACACACTTGTGTCTCCTTCATGTTTATACCTAAACACAGAAAAAACCAGAAAGTTTCACTTATTAAAAATGTACAAAGTGAAAAGGAAAGCTCAAACCTTTCAACCACTTCTATGTCAAAGCAGAATCGTTTGTCAATTGAATCCGTCTTCCGTCGGATACACGATTTCAATTTGAACATTTCCGGTGAGCTAGTTACAAGGCCATTCTGAAACAAGGAGAGTGCCCATTATAATCAGTGTGCTGACGGGATGAACTGAGGTTTCTCAAACACCTGATGAAGTTGCCGCAGGTAAAATGTTTAACTTAGAGTACAGGTTATGTACAAGGGTCATAATCAGACCCTGTCCTTTTTTTATTCCTAATGATAACTGCTTAATTACAATACAACAAACCATTCATTAATCCTATTCATTAATTAATGGTATATAAATATTTTATTTAAAAGAATTCTGTGACATGCTCGTCTAATACTTTCCAACATATTTACTTATATTAAATTACACTACAGTGCACACTTCCTTAGGACAGCAACACTGTTGTCCTGAGTCAGACTTCCCTAGATCGCTAAGAGATCAGTGTCATGTGCCTATCTTTGTATCACCAGCTTTGTACAGTTAGCTCAAAGTTGTAAGAGAACTACCAAAATAATGAAGCACACATGCTATAATGCTATCGTTACCCTGTATATGATATGATTGCTTTGCTGGTACCCAAACTGCTACCCTGGTACTAAAAATGAAACTCTCTGCACAAGATCCAACGTAGGCCAAATTCATAGCAATTTTCTTCTGTAACTGAGATGCCGATCTATTTTAATGGGAAAGCTTACCCAACTTCTGGTTAATTCTATCTTTAGTTGCAATGGACATTTGCAATAGAATAGATTCATTAACAGAACTTTGGTTTGGTCTATTTACGTTATTAACTCACCACTGCATAAGCTGAATTTCTGGTAATATCTATTGAATAAAGTAGAAAGGAGGTGTGATTGTGGCAATTAATAACTCCCCATGATGGCAATAATCTAAGGTTCTTTTTCTCTGGTATTTTCTCCTCTATTTTATGTCTTTCCATTTGAATTATTAGACTCTGATGAATGCCCAAGTACAATAAGTTTCAGCTGACATATTTGAGTATGTGTTTAAGTTAGATCAACATTTGCCTCTGCTGTGATCTACACCACAAATTAGTTGGATAAGGCACTTACTTTTTACAAACCTTATTTCCTGATCTGTTACAATAGGGTTGGACTAAATTATCTTTAGGATTAATGCCCCACTCTAGGATTCTTAGATCACAGCCTAATTATCTAATTCATAAGTCCAATTGTTTGCTGTATTCATATCTTATGTCACACAACGATTATATATCACATAGAATAAAGTTCTCTGTGCATTCCCGCAAATAAAGTGCACCATGTTCTATACCGATCACTAATCATGCAAGTCATTCAGCAACCAATTTACTTTTGGGGGTAAATGAACACTGACTGGCTTCTTTGGAGAAACCTTGTCAGCCAGCATTTTGGTAAACTGGACCCAGTTCAGAGCAGGAAGGACGGAGCCCCCCCAGAGGCAACCTGTGGGAAAGACACAGGATCCCTGGCCTGGCTGCCACTGATAGTCCCTTACCGGGCTGCTAGCCAACCCAACCGCCAGCACAGACCAATGACTGTGCTGCCGGGGCCGAGAGATGACACCTCAGTTATCTATCAGAGGATCTCTGCCTTGAACCCAACTGCTTATAAACATTCCATGGCCAAGTTAGAGGAAAGATGCAAGCATGAAAGAATGCACGGGGACTTTTTAATTTTTAAAAACGGACGTGTTATTAGAAAAGCAAGCACATGTGATTTTTTTGCTTTAATTCCATTCCTTACGTAACAGGCTTAGTTTTAAAGAAGCCAACAGAAACACTAACTCACCATTTTCCCGCTGGATTTCATTTCCGAAACACTCATTGTAAATGTTTTACTTCCCTTATCGTACGTACAATAATGTTTAATCCATGTGAAGCCAAGCGGTCCTAATGTAAGAAAACAAAAGCATTGTAGATTCTGTTAATAAAGGATTTGTATCAAAGTCTGCACATTTTCTTTCTTTTTTTTTGTTGCAGTTTGGCTAGGGCCGGGTTTGAACCCACCATCCTTGGTATATGGGGCCAGCGCCCTTACTCACTGAGCCAAAGGTACCGCCCAAGTCTGCACGTTTTCCAAGGCTTTTACACACCAGTGAGTATCTCTATGCTGCTGCTAGGTTGTGGCATTGACTGTGAGTGAGAAGCCAGTGTAGAGGGGCAGTGGGATAGGACGGTGTCCTGGAACCAAACACCGGGCTTTCCATGCAGCTCTGACACCAACTTTGTAAGTGCGTGAGTTACTTCAGATCTGAACTTATCTGCTAAAGTGGCACACTGGAACACCACAGAGGTAGAAAGAATAGGCTGAGTTATTAAACGTGGTTTCCTTACTTTTCCTTATATTTTCTACTCTCAAAATATATCCAGCTAAAAACTCTGTGAAGTCATTTTACTCCTTTGTTTAAAACAGCCTAGTGGTGTCCTATCTTACTCTGGATAACCATGAGAAAGCCTTTTATCCACAAGGCACCATAGGAGTTACCTGTCATTCTTTTCCTCATCTCATGCCCACTGCTTTCCACCCTGTACACTCGGCTCTGGCCACACTGGCTGGCCCCTTCTGATCCGTGAACACACTGGAGCCAGTTCCACCCCAGGCCATTTGCACTTGCTGCCCCCACCCCCAACCCCTACCCCAATGCCTGTTTTCCCCTCAGGTGTCTGCATGACCTGTCCCGAACCTGCTCAGGCTTTTCCCTACATGTCATCTTCATAATACAACCTTTCTTAGGAAGATTTCTGATGTCTACACACCCTCCCTTAATTCTTTTTATCTTTTTCTTGCTTTTAATTCTTTTTAGCAATTATCACTGTCTAAGATAAACTTTACTAATTTATCCCATTTATTATGTGCCTCTGCCATGAAACTCCAAGTGTCTATGAGAGCAGAAATACGGTGTCCAGCTGACAAGAATATATGTTCTTAATACTTAGAAACAGAACTGGACATAGGGCTGTCACTCCATAAATATTTGACATGGGAATGAATCGCTCATCTTGCAGTAAGATTTTACTGACTTTAGAGTTCTTTCCTCTTACCACTAATCGGAGAAAAGGAAATTCAAATTACACCCTAAAATGAGGGTAATTTCCACTGTTTATATTAAGAGAAATGTGTACGTACCCCATCACCTCTCTTCTCCCCTTGCACACTGTGCAACCCTTTCCCACAGCACCCTGCGTTATCAGCCAGTGATTTCTTCTCCTAAGCAACTGAGGCTGCTGCTTTCCCGGGGAGTAGAAGGTGTTGTTAGTTCAGCATTTCCATGACGAAGGGGAACCCAGGTATCCTGCACCCAAATGTTACAGTGGACCGAGTGGCTTACAAATGGAGCTGGTTTTCCGCATAGCTTCCCCATCCAGGGACCCACCCTGTCTAACACCCCGACTCTTTTAGCAACAATTATCCACGTGTTATTGCTGGCTTTATTTCAGAGGTATATATTTAAAAGCAAGAAACCAAAACGTTAAAAAGTACCTCTTGAGAAAAGTGTTTCATGAGCCATTTAAATTTCTTTTTCTTTAATAATAGTGCCATTGGTGTCGAGTTTAACACTTAGATCACTTCAGATTTTAAAATTATGGGGTGTATCTCTATGCTTTGAAATCACAAAAGATTCTTGCAATTAACTTCAACCCCATATGCGGAGCATTTCTCACTCTGATACTTCAATACTTGTTGATAATTCTGTTACATGTGATATAAAATACTTTGAAGGCGTAGAGCTGATTAGGAGAAAGTGGCTGGATAGAAATTCTCCTCTGTAGAGACTTTACTACTTATGTAGCGACTTAGAAAGTGATATTAGCTATTAATTTAAAGTACCACTTTTGCAATGCTCTGATGATATTTTAAACCAAAGATTTTTTTCCCTGCCTCCACCTCAAGTTCAGAACCTCTTCTATCTAATCTTCAGTCTGCGGCACACACACGCTGCTTTCTTTAAGGTTGACTGGCTCTAGGCCAGAGCAGATGTTCTTAGACAAGCAATTGTTAAGTTCCCAAAAGTATCCAGAAAAAGAAAATTTATTACATCTCTAAAGCTGCAAAATAAAAAAGTTTAATTATCTTACCAAGTAATCATCTAAGGTTGCTGAGATGAATATTTGCAGAATGGGAAAGGAATTAAGAGTCACTGAACACCTACTAAGCGCCAATGTTTTGTCTATGACTCTTTTAAGTTAGACATAAAGAGCACTTCACGTATTGGAAAGAAGACTGAGCCCGCAGGTCACAGAGGGCAACACTGTCCAACAGGGCATGTGACCGGAGCCCTGTTGATATTCTTGAGTTGTTTTAACAACTAAATGAGATAAATGTAAATTGCTCAGAATAGTAAGGGCTCACAGGAAAAGCAATAATAGTGGTAAAAATAATGACATGGTCATTTTTAATGCCCGCATTGATAACAGAGACACTTTCCATACAATGTCTCTAATTCTTGCAAGGTCTTTATGACACAGGTATAAACATCCTTCTTTCATAAATGGAAAGAAAATAAGCTCTTTCACACAGTCAGAGAACAGACACAGAATTCTAAGATAGCTCTGTCTGACTCTGGAACCCATGCTCTTTCTGGTTACATTCAAGTCTACCAGAATGTGATTTAATGCTCGCCTAGAGGTAGATAACATAAACACCACACACCCAGGTACAGTGGAGCTCTGTGTCCAAACAGCAATGATCTGCCCCCACCCAGCAGATCTATCTCCATTTATCACAAAATTTACAGCTCTGATACTCTCTATGAACCACTGACTATTCATTGTATGAGTTTGTCCTAGGTCTTTAACTAAAGAATAACAACCCTGAAGCCAAATTCTTTATCATTTTCTATCCATTGCAGAGCTTATTCATTCAGTGACAGCAAGTAGATAATCGATACATCTTAGCGAACTAGTTAGATTTTCTTCTTGCAAATGATTTCAAAGTGTCCAAGTTGGAAAGGGCTTTGAATATTTGTCCCTCCTAGAAAAAGATACAGTAAAAAAAGAAGAAAAAGAGGAGGAGGAGGAGAAAGAAAGACAGACAGAAAGAAAAGAAAAGAAAAGAAAAGAAAAGAAAAGAAAAGAAAAGAAAAGAAAAGAAAGGAGGAAAGAAGAAGAAGAAAGAAGAAAGAAGGAAGAAGAAGACAACGACAGTAGCACCTCAAGAGACTGAACGACCTGGCTGACATACAGACATGGTCAACATAAGGAACTAGGGCTGCTGTCCGTGGTGCATGTCTGGTCTATGAAAATTAGGTAATTAGGTCAAGGACGAGGTAATTGAGGGGAGGTGGTCAGCTATGGTGGCTGTACTCTAATTCCAAACGAATATAAAGCCATTCATTTTTCTTTTTAAATTGTTTATAAACGGGCAAGAGAAAACTTTACAAGGTAATTAAATACAGAAGCTACCCCCCCCAAAAGTATACACATTTTAGGAAAGGAAAAAACAGCACTCAATTGTTCATAATATATGCTGATAACAGAAGATGACTCCAAGTCAGGTTGAGCACCTCTCGTGACTGCTGCCGTCAGACGTGACTGGAGTGTACCGAGCACAGTGCTTTCCTTTCTCAGACTGTGGGTACATTTTTTGGCAACCTCTATGTCCTTCAGGTCCACTGCGGTGACGGTCCCACAGGGGCATTCAGCAGTTTGATAAGTGGTGGATTTTAAATACATGCAATTTATTATATAACAACTATAACCCAATAAAGCTGTGAAAACGATGCAGGTGGATTCTGAGAAAAGCAAGATGGAAATGTTCTCGAGGAAAGAAGAAAATATCAAAAGAGAGGATGTGAATAAAAATAGGGAGGGTGAGAGCCTCCAACGTCAGGCCCTGTGAAGGGGCCGTCACTGCTGGGGAAGAACCACAGGAGAAGGCTCTGCTGGGAGCACAACCGAGGACAGGTGGAGGATGGCAAGCCTGCAGGCAGGGCGGGAGCCGCTGTGAGCCCATGGCAAGGGTCTGGCCTGGGCCAAAGCAGTGGAGATGGACAGAAGATGCAGAACAAAGGGACATCGAGGGGACCGGATCTGGCCCCAGGCAACCGAGAGACACTGGCTGAGAATGGCCTTGACTTACGTAGCCCAGGAGAGTGAGTGGTATCCACTAATAATAGAGAGAGAGAAATCTGCCTGGGAAGGTCAGTATCCCAATGGACTTCAGAATCACTCCAGAGTGAGCCAGACAGGTATCTTAACAGCAAAGGATACCAACGTCAGGAGACTGCACAAAACACTGTGCTTCCTTCACCCCATGTAACCCTCAAGTTATTAAAGGGTTCATTCTTGTAGATGGTTTGAAATCAATGTCCAGCACTCTGAGAACAGGCAAGCCAAGCACAGGACCATCAGACAGGCAGGCTGTCTACCAAGTAGTGACTGAACGTGGGAGATCTGAAGATCATGTACAAAGTAATTTTGCTCAGTCATTTAAAAGCTTTTTGGTTTAGAATAAAATACTGAGTACCCATAAGGATTTCAGTGGTGTGTAACACCTAGAAAGAACTCTAGAACAAAATATTATCAGATCACAATGAATAAAAAATCCTTCCTGTAATAAATGGTGCTGGGGAAAAATGAGTATTCAGATGTAGAAGAAAAAAGAATTAGACCCCTGTCTCTTCCTATATACCAAGATCAGGTTGAAATAGATTAAAACCTTAAATCTAAGACCTGAAGCTAAGGAACTGTTAGATGAAAACAGTGAGGAAACACCCAGGACACTGGCTGGAGCAAAACACAGGCAACCAGAGCAAAGGAGATGAATGGGGTTTCCTTAAGCTCAAAAGCTTCTGCACAGCAAGGAAACAATCAACAAAGTGAAGAGACCCCCACAGAACGGGAGATTGCATTTACAAGCTGCCCAGTGGCACACGGTTAATAACCAGAATATATGAGGAGATCAAAGAACTCAAGAAAAAACATAATCTGACTGTTAAAAACGGTTAGCAAATATGACTTGACATTTCCCCAAAGAAAGGATACAAATGCCAACAGTTGTGTGAAAAAAATGCTCAGCGCCACTAATCATCAGAGAACACCCCTCCCCCCACTTAAAATGGCTTTTATCAGAAAGAGGCAATAACCAGGGCTGGCGAGGATGTGGAGAAAGGGAACCTGGCCGCTGTTGGGAGGAGTGTAAATCAGCACAGCTACGTAGAGAACAACACAGAGGCTCCTCCAGAACTAAACATAAGAACCACATGGCCCTGCAGTCCAACTACGGGGCACGGATCCAAACGAAAGGAGGTCAGTAGATGGGAAGAAACACCGCATTCCCATGGTTCTGCAGCACTGCTCACCACAGCCAAGCCTTAGAAGCAGCCTAATTGCCCGCCAATCGGCAAATGTGGTACTATACATAGTGGAATATTATTCAGCCATAAAAAGAAGGAAAACCTGCCATTTACAAAAACATAGCTGGAACTGCAGGACACTGTGTTAAGTGAAATAAGCCAGACACAAAAAGACAAGTGTCATGTGTGCTGCTAAAAAAATTGATCTCATGGAAACAGAGAACAGAAAGGAAGAGTTGCTGCTACAGGGGCAGCAACCATGGGCGGCTGGGGAGGCCACACGGGGGAGGCCACACGGGGAAGACCACACGGGGAGGCCACACGGGGGAGGCCACATGGGGGAGGCCACATGGGGAGGCCACACGGGGGAGGCCACATGGGGAAGACCACACGGGGAGGCCACACGGGGGAGGCCACATGGGGGAGGCCACACAGGGAAGCCACATGGGGAAGGCCACACAGGGAAGCCACATGGGGAAGGCCACATGGGGGAGGCCACATGGGGAGGCCACATGGGGGAGGCCACCTCAGGCTGAGAAAGATAGCAGAGATGGCAGGGGTCCAGAGGAATGGTTAACAGTTAAAAAAATAATCTAAAGACCCAATAAAAGGGTCTAGTATTTGTAGCACAAAGGAGAATTAAAGTTAATAATTTATTACATGTTTCAAAATAACTAGACTGGAATGTTCCTAACACAAAAAACTCATAAATGCTTGAGGCAGTAGATACCCCAATTACCCTAATTTGATCATTACACACAATGTAGTTGTATCAAAATAGCATATGTGCCCCATAAAAACATATAAGTATTATGTATTTATAACAATTAAAAATCAAAAGAAGAAAAAGAAAAAACCCATAGGTGTGAGGAAGGCACCTCCTCTACCACCGTACGCTCATTGCCCTCACTGTCAACACATTCTTCCATTTGGCCAAATCTTGTATTAATATGACAAAATGTGACCTTCTCTCAAATCTCATACCAAAGAGGGAACAATCCCCCCAATTCTGAAGGAATTACTTGAAATAAATCTTCAAAAATTTCCTTAGCGTCCTAAGTTAAATCTATAGATGAGCCAATGAACTTGTAATTCTTCATACAGGCGTCCTCAAACTACAGCCCGTGGGCCACATGCAGCCCACCTAGGACATTTATCTGGCCCGCCAGGTGTTTTTGCTGCTGCTGCCTGTCCTACTTAGTAGCCGACTAGTCCTGGGGCCCACAGTCCGGCTCTCCAACAGTCTGAGGGACAGTGAACTGGCCCCCTGTTTAAAAAGTTTGAAGACCCCTGAACTAGTGGGTGAAAGCTATTTGTTATGCTTTAATTATACACTACCTCAGCAGGTTATTAGATTCATCATTTTAAGATGTTTAAAAACAGTAGACTGGCCAATGTAGACAGTTACAGGAGAGAAAATTCTGGAACACAGATCACCTGAACCAGATCCCTCGACCAACAGTTACAAATTTTGGTGAGCCTGTCAGATTAAATCCAATTTGCTTACGTACTGCTAACCAAAGAAGACCATGAAATGGACACAATGCTGGCATCTCAGTGACCGTGCCACACGCACAGCATATCAAAAGCCTTCACAATGGTCCGTGAGGGGCAGGAAATGGAACACTTGTTCCCTCACCACCAACCATATGGGGCTGGAGCTTTAGGGCACAACTAGTCTGAAGCACAGAGCTAATTTAGTTGAAATTGTTAAATTAGTTCTACTTAATGACAAGAAATGCTAGGTGTACAAGTTAGAATGACTTTGTATCAGCTTTTGTGAGAAACTTCCTCAGAGTGAGGCCATTACACCAGCACTCTACTGGGTTTGGTCCTTACTTCCCAATCTCAGCAAGTAAAGAGTGCCAATTTGACGGGACATAATTGCCAGTTTTATTCCTAAAAACTGACAGAGAACAGAATTAAATGAAATAATGCAGCTGGAGGGGAAAACTATTACCAGAGTCTCCAGGACGATTCATCCTGATAAAGGCTTTGGTTTTTAACTATCCCTGAAACTTTAAACTGAGATGAGGTATAGCAAGTAAATGCTGAAACTGAAGTCATGTTACTGTCCCCTCAGTGAAGACTGTCCAGCTCCATGTCCAGCAATATGCCAACTCAGACCTCAGGACGGCAGAATGTGGAAACTTGCCCCGACGTTGGTGGCAGAGGTAGGAAAACCCAGGAAATGATAAAGGTTTGAGGAATTTCAGTGTTCTTACGTGAAGGAAATAATAGTGCCCAAGTCATAGCTCCTGGAAACAGAACGTTCCCTTGGGAGACATGAAGTTACATCTGTGGGACTCACGCTTCTCCTGGACGTAGAGGTAGCCTTCCATCGTCCACTGGCTGGGGGGCCGGTAGTCCCGGTCGGCAGACTTCATCCTCTGCATCAGCCGCTCCACCTCTTGTCGAGTGCTTTCAAAATTATTCCTTGTCTTAAGTAAACAAAAACAATTCCATTCAATGATTCCTTCCAGGTGTGAGGAACCACCAGACTAAGTTTTCAAAAGTCAAAGAGCACCTTGATTCTTCCAGCACTGTTCACCACATCAGGAGATGTTGAGTTCTGTGGTCTGAATTTGAATTGCTTTAGTAAAAACATCTCAGAATTACTTTCTGCTTGTTTCTCTTTGAATTTCTTTGTGTCTACACATGTGTCTGTGCGTGTGTGACTTATTTTCCTATTTTCACATTCCAACATTATTACTTGGGAGGTAAATTATGTCACTTAAAAATACAGGCTGGGCACAGTGGCTCATGCCCCTAATCCTAGTTCTCTGGGAGGTCAAGGTGGGAGGATCACTGAGACCAGTCTGAGTGGGATTGAGACCCCGTATCTACAAAAAAATGGAGAACTATGCCTGTAATCCCAGCACTCTGGGATGCCGAGGCGGGTGGATCACCTGAGCTCACTTGACAGCAGTTGAAGCCAGAGTGAGACCCTGTCTCTAAAAACAGCCAGGCATTGTGCCAGGTGCCTGTAGTCCCACCTACTTGGGAGGCTGTGGCAAGAGAATTGCTTGAGCTCAAGACTTTGAAATTGTTGTGAGATATGATGCCACAGCACTCTACCAAGGGCGACACAGTGAGACTCTGTCTCTGAAGAAAAAACAAAAATTAAAAAAAAAGGAAAAATTAGCTGAACATGGTGGCACATGCCTTCTCTATGGGAAGTTGAGGCAGTAGAGTCACTTGAGCCCAAGAATTTGAGGATGCTATGATGATGCCATTACCTGCCTAGCCCAGGGGACAGAGCGAGCTTTTGTCTCAAAACTTTTGTACATATAAGATACATTAAATAGAATTCGGATTCTCTAATACCTAAGGCATAAAGCAAATACATAGGCACTGAATTTCTTTGGAGGGGAATAAAAATACTTTTGATATATGTGGCACTGAACAAATTAAGAAAAATGTTTGCCACCATTGCACCAAAGCCTTTTTTGAAGAAATATTATGTAGCTTGGTCTACTAAAATAGGTATTAAGAGGTCAATGTATAAATTAACTCATAAAAATCAACAGGTACAATGTTAACTTCTTGGCCTACAAGAAGTACTTTACATTGTGTCTACTTATGCTACAGGAAGAATCGGGCTTTTTTTTTGCAGTCAGGACACATTGCTTAACAGCACATTTTTGAAACGAGGATAATCATCACCACCTCACTCTAAAATTTCATGCTTTGTAATAAGAGAACTGAATCTTGGGGGTCACCACACATGAGGAACTGTATTAAAGGGTCGCAGCATTAGGAAGGTTGAGAACCACTGCCTAAGCAAAATAAAAACTAAAATTCAAAACACATCCCAAATCTGTAGTTTTATTTCCTGGATATTTCCACAATGGCAAGAATCAGATAAATCAGATAATGAGAGAAACACAAGCTCTTTATAGAAAATTAAGTGAAAGTTTTCCAAATTATTTTGGCTATGGAGTGCTAAGGTTTAACTTAGCTAAGGTTTAACTTAGAAACCTCATTATTTGTCAGGTTTGATAATGCAGAAATGGATGGATAAAGTATTTTTCTGATTTATTTCTATGTTATATATACTTACCTTAAGATTCCCATATATATAATATGTTGCTTGGCATCTGAAAATCACAATTTGCATGACTATGCAATCAGAGATTAAGAAGACTGATTAATCAACTTTATAAAATAAATCCTGATAGTAACAGATAGGCTATATGGAAGTAATTCTCACTTATGCTTTAAAATAGTTATGTCGATTATTTGAAAATAATGAATATTACATAATTTATATACAATGTCAGAGAAAGATAGGACATTTGGGTGTTAAAGAACATTCCCTTCATTTTATAAATAGAGAAATTATGTCCTCTCAAAAAATAAGACTTGTGTAAGGTTGCAACAGTATTTTCTGTTCCAGCTTTATTGAGGGATCATTGACAAATACAACTGCATATATTGAGGATCCACTGCGAAATGATTACCACAATCACACTAACTGACATGTTCTCCTCACATACAGTCACCACTTTGTGCGTTTGTGTGGGGAGAATGTGTGATCCACACTCTGGAGGCAGGAGCTTGAGACCAGCCTGGGTGATAGGGAAACACCATCTCTACAAAAAAATTAGGTGGGCTTGGTGGTGCAGCCTGTAGTCCTAGCTGCTCAGGAAGCTGAGGCAGAAAGGCTGCTTGAGCCTGGGAGACGGAGGATGCTGTGAGCTATGACTGTGCCACTGTCCACCCTGGCCTGGGAGATGGAGGATGCTGTGAGTTGTGACTGTCCCACTGTCCACCCTGGCCTGGGAGATGGAGGATGCCTGAGCTGTGACTGTCCCACTGTCCACCCTGGCCTGGGAGACGGAGGACGCTGTGAGCTGTGACTGTCCCACTGTCCACCCTGGCCTGGGAGATGGAGGATGCTGTGAGCTATGACTGTCCCACTGTCCACTCTAGCCTGGGAGACCGAAGATGCTGTGAGCTGTGACTGTGCCACTGTCCACCCTGGCCTGGGAGACCGAGGATGCTGTGAGCTATGACTGTGCCACTCTCCACCCTGGCCTGGGAAACCGAGGACGCCGTGAGCTGTGACCGTGCCACTGTCCACCCTGGCCTGGGAGACCAAGGACGCCGTGAGCTATGACTGTCCCACTGTCCACCCTGGCTTGGGAGACGGAGGATGCAGTGAGCTATGACTGTCCCACTGTCCACCCTGGCTTGGGAGACCGAGGACGCTGTGAGCTATGACTGTGCCACTGTCCACCCTGGCCTCGGAGACTGAGGACGCTGTGAGCTATGACTGTGCCACTGTCCACTCTAGCCTGGGAGACCAAGGACAATGTGAGCTATGACTGTGCCACTGTCCACCCTGGCCTCGGAGACCGAGGACGCTGTGAGCTATGACTGTGCCACTGTCCACTCTGGCCTGGGAGACCAAGGACACTGTGAGCTATGACTGTGCCACTGTCCACCCTGGCATCAGAGACCGAGGACGCTGTGAGCTATGACTGTGCCACTGTCCACTCTAGCCTGGGAGACCAAGGATGCTGTGAGCTATGACTGTGCCACTGTCCACTCTAGCCTGGGAGACCAAGGACGCTGTGAGCTATGACTGTGCCACTGTCCACTCTGGCCTGGAAGACTGAGGACCCTGTGAGCTATGACTGTGCCACTGTCCACTCTAGCCTGGGAGACCAAGGACGCTGTGAGCTATGACTGTGCCACTGTCCACCCTGGCCTGGGAGACTGAGGACCCTGTGAGCTATGACTGTGCCACTGTCCACTCTGGTCTGGGAGACCAAGGACACTGTGATATGACTGGGCCACTATCCACTCTAACCTGGGTGATAGAGTAAGCTGCTGTCTCAAAAGTGAATAAATTAATAAAATTAAATAAAATAATAAAAGGTTTACCCTCTTAATAAATGTCACGTATAGAATAGAGTACCACTAACTATAGCTGTCACACTGTATGGTACCACTCCAGAACTTATTTGGCGCTACCACCCAGTAAATAACTAGAACACTGGATGAAGGCAAAAGTTTCCAAACTTCATGTGTCCACACCTGGGTAATATTCACTTTTATAAATTTTGCTCGTACAAATTTTTCTAACATGAGATTAGTGGTGGTGGTGGCGGTGGTGTGTGTGTGTACTTTTAAGTAGCAGGAGAAAGAAATGTAATACATTTATAAAGTGGCTTTTCTAGGTTATTGAGGTTTCACTGTATCTACAGAAGTTTTTGAAAGTTCCAAGTTTTGACGTGGTTGTAACTCAGCTGCCCTGTGATCTCAGGTGGGCTGAGCAGCGGTTCTCAGCCTGTGGGTCGCGACCCACAGACCTGCGTCACAGGCCCACGGCATAGGAAGGTTGAGAACCACTGGGCTAGGAGCGGCAGTAAGAACAGGTGTGTGCTTACGTTCTGCAAGTTGAACTGCAGCTGTTGCTTGTAGGGTGCAAATTCCTGGGCCAGTTCATATCCCTCGTGGTAAAATGTAAACAAACCCTGAAGGAATGACAAAAGCTGCGAAGAGAAAGGCACAAAAAGGAACCATGAAAACTGGCTTTTAAAAAGGGGACCATCAAATGGAAAATACTGGAGAATTTATATTTCATTTTACTCTCTCAAGATTATACATTTTTAATCCTTTGTTTGGCAAGGCAGACAACAGATGTATGGATAGAAATCCGAAATACCAAAAGTGTTTTTATTTCCTTTTTGGTAGATGGTGACCTAATTTTTGATCCTGTGAACAGTTTTCATGTTCACTACTCTACTGGTCATGAGCATTAAGAGACCACGAGGGGGATGAAGACCAGAGCGGCAGGGTCCGGAGGAGCTCCTGACGGAGCAGGGAGATAGAAGGAGACTCAGCCGCAGATCACAGGTAAGTCTTAGCACACTCCTGGGAAGGAGCAGGAGGCGGCCAGATGAAATTAAGAAAAAGTATCACATGGTGGCAGTACTGACTTGGGTAGGGAACAGACAGCACGTCAGCAAGGCCCAGGGAGAACTCCAAACAGGAAAAGAGCTGAGAAAAAACACAGAATTGGACAACACAGGTCCTTCCTTGGAAAAACCACAATTTCTGCGGCCCTAGCCTTCTGATCCTAAATTCATATGTGCTTATTTATGTTTGTATCCATAAACTATGACGGGCTCTCCATGGAATTACAGGACACAGTCATTTATGTGGAATAAACTATACTATAAAAACTTGATTTAAGTATTTTCTTTTGATTCACAGAGATTTTATTCCACAGACTATTACCCTTTCAACCCCATCTCTCCCATAACCTCTTTCTGCAAAAAAGTTAGAAAATATTTTTGAAAGGTGATTCATAATATGCCTGTAACTTATTTTAATTTAAGGGAGAAACACAATTTAAACCATTTTCACACATGAATAACATTCCACCACTTCCCATCTGGGGAGGCAGGGAGGGTCTGGCTAAAAAATGTAATACATTTATAAAGTGGCTTTTCTAAATTATTGAGGTTTCACTGTATCTAGAGAAGTTTTTGAAGCATTAGCTGGCAGGTGTCTTATCTAACAGGTAAACGCTGGTTCTATCTGAAAACAATGAGCTAAGGCTTCTCCTCCAGTGAGCAAATCAACTCCATATAATGTTCATTTCAGAAAGCATCTATTTCCAAATTGTTTCTGTTAAGTTGTTACATTTTAAGGACTTGTTTCTTGATCAACAGTTCCTGATATTTTGCCAAAAGGTATTGTTTGCCATTTTAGAATTACACCCTCGGCTTTACATCAACTGATAATTATTATTATCAAAACTAAATATCACACAGACCATCTTATAATAGTGCTACATTATGTTTGTCAAATTACCCAATAAAATATACAGTCTGCCTGAATGCATATACTGTAACCTAAATAAACCAAACTGTAGCTTAAATTGGATTAAAAATACTTTATTAAGGGTTTAGGCACATACAGAGCTTTTCAGATAAAAAACAAAATATTTTTGAAATATGTAGATAATACTAGTCTTCTGAATATCAAAATAATAGTGTGTGAAGTCGTCATGGAACTATTATTTCATATTTTACCATCTACAATTAGTCCACAATTAAACCATCTCATTGTGAACTGGACGCCATACAAAGCTGACACTATATTAAAAGCAACACACATACAAAAATTAATTAAACTGCTAAAAAAGATATTTTAAAAATATCTGTGATAACACTTTGTTCAAAATACCTAATCCCTTGGATCCACCTTTTCAAGCATTCTGAGTGTTGAGAACATGGGAAAGACTCAAAGCACATTGATAATTCAGAAATATGAAGTAAACCATTAGAATTCTACCTAGAATGTTGCTAAAAATTCTAACAAATGGTGAACTGTGATCTTTAGGTCACGTAGATTTATGATAATGTGCTTTAAGTGAGCTTGATGCCCCAGTCCCAAAGTTATGTTCCATGCTTAGCCCCTCCAATCTGAAAATCCAAAATCCAAAATGCTCCCAAGTCCAAACCTTTTCAAGCACGCACTCACACAACATCACAAGTGAAAACTTCCATGCCCAACCCCTTTGCTTTCGGATGGTTCAATGCGTAAAATTATTAAAATGTGGTAGAAAATGACTTCTGGGCTATGTATATAAAGTATAAATGAAGCATAAATGAATTTTGTGTTTATTATGCATCCCATCTCCAAGATATCTCACTACATGTACGGAAACCTTCCACAAACTGAGAAAACATCTGAAATACAAAGACTTCTGGTCCCAAGCATTTCAGATACAGGACGCTCAGCCCATAATACGTCTCAAAAGATCAGACATCTACAGAAGACACTGGCAGTCTCCACTGACTCCTGACTCCTTTGAGACACTCCCCCCACAGGCAGAGCCTCTTACTGTTTAAAGATTCATTGGACCCCTTGTGGGTCCCCTAACTAAGACTCTGATGGAAGCATTTTGACATGGATTTTGGTAAGCCAACATTTCCCACTGATGTCTCCTTTCGAATCCTTACATATGTTGAAAGAGTGAGATGCTGACACCTCCATTGTATCCAGGTTACTCTGGACTCGCAGCATCTCATATGCAGCCAACTTCAGACAAAGTGATAATAAACCCACTGGTATCTTCCAGAAAAATCCAGATTCACTTAGCAGCAGAAAAATATGTTCTAGTCACAGAACACACACTGAGCACCCCCCCCCCCAAAGTACACAGCTGTATGGAAGGTATATCAAAAAAAGAAGCACCCACCTTTCCGTTTCCTTTTGTACCGTAGCTTTGGGGAAGGTTTTATTGGAGAGTGCATTATGGAATACCTGCCTCTAGATGGCAGCAAAGTTAAACTTTTGGGCGGTTTCACTATGTGCTTGTTCGTTTTCTCCTCCACAAAATTCTAAGATGCTAAATAAAACAAAGGAACTTACCAGGACCACTTGAAAAAACTCCATTTCCCACATGTCATTTTTATTGATCAATCTGCCTGAGTGGCTGGGATGCTACAGAAGAGACCATGACCTCAGCTTACCTTTAAGAAAATTTGACCTTTAAAATAGTAATAGTAACAGTGATAACTACTACAAACTGTCAACTAGACAGTCGGGATTTAACTACTAAGAAAGTTCCTTTTCTCAGGTGGCCCTTGTGGCTCAAAGGAGTAGGGCACTGGCCCCATATACCAGAGGTGGCGGGTTCAAACCCAGCCCCAGCCAAAAACTGCCAAAAAAAAAAAAAAAAAAGTTGTTTTATCATCAAGAAAAATCTCATGTAACGCTATTTTACTTCACTTTATTTTGAGACAAAGTCTCACTTTGTTGCCCTCATTAGAGTGCTGTGGTGTTACAGCTCACAGCAACCTCAAACTCTTAGGCTCAAGCTATTCTCTTATAGCTGGGACCACAGGTGCCCAACATAGCGCCTGGCTATTTTTAGAGACAGGGTCTTGCTCTGGCTCAGGCTGCTTGGTCTTGAACCTGTGAGCTCAGGCAATCCGCCCGCCTCGGTCTCCCAGAGTGCTAGGATTACAGGCACGAGCCACCAAGCCCAGCCTATTCCCAAATATTTTAGAACCAAATTAATATTCGTCACTCCAACAATGTGACCAAATGTAAAAATTAATACTGCATTTACAGACAGATAATCTATTAAAATGTTTGATGTTTACAATGATGTTTATTGTAATTTTGATTACAAGTCATCAAAAGAACAAATATTCATCATTTCCCAGCCCATTAATCACCAAGTAACTAAATGCAGTGTGGTTTTGACACGTGTAACCGTTTCACACCTGAAGTTACCAGGAATAACGTGAATGGCAAGAAAAGTAAGAGCTGCAAAAAAGGATGTAACTGCCAGTCAAGCTCTAAATTTGTTCTTGTGTTTGACAGAAAACAATTAATTTCTACACGGTCCTTCCATCAGCTTTAACAACACAAAAAGGCCAGGGCCAGATATAACTGAGTAGGCATCTCCGATTACCAAATACTAAACATAATTTCTTATCTCCTAAAAAATGAATCGCACACCAATTAAAATGCTGAATACTCCTATTCAACAGGTAACAGATCTGATTTAACGATGAAAGATCGAATGCACTCTCCTCCCCCTGCCCTGCCCCCAAGATCTGAAACAAGATGAGGATGACCAGTCCTGATACTTCCACTCAGTATGTACTTCCATGTTCCATCAGAGCAGGTAAGAAAAAGGAATAAAGGGCATCCAAATGGGACAGAAGACAGTAAAATTATGTCTATTTGGAAATGCCATGATCTTGTACATAGTATACAAGTCTAAGGAATCAGGATAAAACTATAAGAACTAATGAACAAGTTCAGCAAGGACACACACAAAGTTCAACATACAGAGATCAATTGGATGTCTATACAACTGCAAGAAAAACTATTATATACAGGAAACAACTCTATATATAGAATTGCTTCAAAGGTAATGAAATATTTAGGAAAATTAATTTAACAAGAACTTACAAAATGCATACTCTGAAAATTATGTAACATTGTATAAAGAAATTAAAGAAGATACAAATAAATGGAAAGCATATCATATTCATAGACTGAAGAACCAATATTTTTAATACAGTGATATTCCCCAAATTAATGCACAGATTGAACATCATCGCTGTCAGAATCCCAGCTAACTTTTTTTGTAGTAATTGACAAGCTAATTCTAAAATTCACATGGAATTAAAGGGGATACTAACCCGTCAAAAAAAACTTGAAATAAAAAGTAGAAAGACTTCCCGATCTCAAAACTTACTACAAAGCAGTAATAATCAACACAATGTGATATCAGTACAAAGACAGACATATTCATCATTGGAACTGAACCGAGTCTGCAGATTCACACACACACACACACACACACAATCAATATGAAGATAGACATATTTATCAGTGCAACTGAACCGAGAGTCTGCAGATTCACACACACACACACACACACACAATCAATATGAAGATAGACATATTTATCAGTGCAACTGAACCGAGAGTCTGCAGATTCACACACACACACTCA